TCCTGCCAGTTTTCGTTTGAAGGATTGACCCATATGTTTTTTTTTTGGGCCGATATCGATTTTTAGTAATCAAGGAAACCGATATTAATCACCAATAATCATTTGCAGTAAAAAAGTATTATTTTGAAACACATGCTTTTATTTTGAAATGGGTAAAGAACCAGAAGTAGTGTATGCTCGGTGTTGTTACCTGCTCGTCAGTTTCTTTTCTTCTCTTTCTCCGTGTTTCCTGGTTTCTGTTGTGGTTTTATGAGAAGATCTGATCTTTGACCGTCATGATCGACTCTTGGTGACTCAGCTGTTGGTCGAGAAGTTAAAGATGTCTGTCGGGACGATCATCGGCTTTTCTCCTGATTCGATTCTTCTGCAAATTTTTAGATGCCAATTCAATTTAAATTGTGATTCTATGATATTGTTGATTTTCTGGATATTTCGTCTGTATTTTTAACAAACAGTGAAACAGTCGAATGTTTATGATCGTCTGCTGACTATTAAAGGAACCAGATTTCCTAAAAAATACTCACATCACATGTGAGTCCGTTTTTAATATTTACTCTTAAATCTGAAAAAATTGGATTTAAAAATTGTAAAACCAAAAATCTCTACACTTATGTGAATCGATTTTTTCCTCCCAGCCCTGGTGATCTGTATGACTGTGTATTCTTTATCTATATTAGCTACAGAGCTGACAGTGACATCTATGTAATCTATTATCTATGTAATATGTCATGATAATGACTGATGTTGACCTTTATTTTAGTTCTACGGTGTGAATAAATATCAGTGAAAGGAACAGGAGTCTCATATCCAATCACAGCGCTGCTTCACAGAGCTCTCTCTCCTCTCTCTCTCTCCTCGCTGTGGCGCTGCCCGCCTGTGGCTGTCTGTGTAGCCAATCAGTGGGGACTGTAGGCGGGACATTGTTACACAGTGAAGAGTGGTGCCGAATGAGCGCGTTTCAAAATAAACGTATTTTGTCGGCTATCGGTGGAAAAAATGTCTGATGCCGATTATCGTAAAAATGCTGAATATCGGCAGATATTATCGGCCGTGCTGATTGTTGTTGGATTGTTAGATTGTCTCACAGAGAGGATGTTCACGTGTTTCTAAATCAGCTGAAACTGGACCGTCAAAGGGGCGGGACTTTAGAGTATCTGTGAACAACGACCGCCTCCACCTGTGTCAGCTCACAATCACACTGTGAGCATGTTTCCATGGAGACAGGAACACGGTCAGCGTTCAGTACAGACAGGCGTGTTTCCTCTGTCTGACTCTGGGTCACCTGCTGCTTTCATCTGATTGGTTGTTGTAGAACAGTCTCTGACCCGTGAGTCCAGGTGAATCGGACCAGACTAACGTCTAAATCTGATTTTAGGATCTGTTTATTTTTTCTAAGTTGGCGTTTTAGTTTCATGAGCTCCATCTTTAACCCCTCCTCCCAAAGGTCAGAGTTCACTTTGTGCTTCAGGGCGACAAAAACGACACGTGGAGTTCCTCAAGGCTCCATCCTGGGAGCTTCAGTCTTTAGACCAACCCTCACCTGGTCGGACCGTGAACCGGGTTTTGGATGGTCAGTTTTTGATGCTGTCCTCTTTGGCGTCTCTGCGGTTCTGTTATTAGAGGATGATGGCGGTCTCAGAGAACGCCGTCAGGTCGGGATGTTGGTTTACAAACCCAGGAAACAGACTCGGAGTGTTTTTCTCTCCTGGTCTGTTTTTGTGTTCCAGTCCAGAGTGGTTCGGGTTTCAGTCTCTGGATCAGACGCTGACTTGGATGGCGGTTTCTCTCGGCCATGATTGAAGAAAAGAGTGTTTGCTTTTGTTTTTGCAGGCAGCTGTTTGTCAGTCGTCGTCACCTCGACTTTATCTCCGGCAGGATTCCTCTCAGCCCGTTAGTTTCTCAGGTGTTCTCGTGTTTCAAAGCCCCGCTCTGGATTTAGGGTCCACATCACGCCTCGTGGCAGAGAGAAGGAAGCCGCTGTTTGTTTTTGTGGTGCTGCCAGATGTTTCTGTGGTTTCCACACGGCTGACATGAGGCCTCCTCACCTGAGAGCGACAGGACGCCCTGCTCATGTTTCTGCGGCCAGACTCTCTGGGAGCCGGGCCTTTCACCGTCAGCCGCCTCGCTCTTACATCTTCAACCAAGTTCATTGGCTTTTCACCTCCAGGAGTTACTCCTGCGGCGTCTCTCCTTTGATTCGGTGATATTTATGAGCACTATCTCTCCGCCCACAGCTCCAACAGTCTGCGTGACGCCTCCTGGCTGGTGGTGGCGCAGCAGCTTCGGAATACATTTACAGAAAGTGAGGAGAAACGCTGGAAGGCACACATCTGAGGAGGAATCACCAGGGAGGAGCTGAGAGAGCCGGACAAAGATTGAGCCGCACCGGGGAACAAATGAACGGAGAGAAGATTGTGGGATTGTTGGGAGTCAGGAGATAGATGGGCGGATATGGAGGAGATGAAATGGGATTGCTGTAGACACGGTTGGAACCTGAGGAAGAGCGAGAAAATGGGAAGGAGAATAAGATGGTGCGGAGATTTGGAGAGGCCCTGGAGTGATGCAGCAGGATAATTAATGATAGGGACTGATAGCACCTGCTGTTCCTGATGCTGCGCTGTATTTACGGCCCAGCATGCCGAGCGGAGGAGCAGGATGTGGATGCGTGACCAGCCCCGCGGTCCGTCCTCCTGGGGCGTGAAGAGAGAGAGGGTGAGGAGGGAACAGCGACTCAGCAATCCAGCTGAAATTTATGTCCTGCACTCGCTCGGTTAATCCCAGTCCACCGCCTCCCACCGGGAGAGCCGGACAGAGATGGAGGACGGTGGGCAGAGCCTCCTGGAAAGTCAGGCCTTCCTGTACTCGAGGTCTGCAGAACGCTGCAGGAGCCGGAGGAGCAGGAGGAGCAGCAGGAGCCGCAGGAGCTGCAGGCCTGAAGCCCAGAGACGCCCTCCTGGGAATCCTGTGTCAAAACCCACCAGGAGAAACACTGGGATAAGAGCGACTGGGCCATCCTGCTCCCATCAATCCTCATTCCTGGTACCCGATCATTTTCCTCCGGAGCAGGAGATGGATTTTTGGATAGCAGGCTGTGAAAGCAAAGATTGATTTATGTGCTCAACAGTCCATTCGTCATGTTGTTCTGGCTGCTCTCAGGTTTGCAGCAGCTCTCCTTCACCTCCCTGAGCTTCTGTGTGTGAGTTTATGGGGGGGTCATTGTTCCAGGGGTGTGGTCAGCGGGGCTCAGGCGGTGCCAGACTCCATGGACCACATCAATAGGAACACATTTCCTTGTCCTGTGAGGTGAAGCGGACCTCTATTCTTCTTTTCATGGTTAAGCTCCTGAATTATGGACTAAGTCCCGCCGGGCCTGAAGAGGGCCCGCGTTTCAGACTTAAGCTGCTCCAACATGTTCTGAATAAGAGCTGACGGAGGCACACGGCCCCCAAAAACACGCATACTTGTGTCTGTTTCACAACATTTTATCAGAGCGCAGCTGCCAAAACCACAGTCCCTACATTCCTGCAGAACTCCGGGCTGGACCTCTTCCAGCCGGCTCGGTCTGCTGCAGCGGGCCCTGCAGCTGTCTTCTCCATCCATGCAGCGCTGTTTGTTGTGACAGACCTTCGCCAAAGAAGGCCTGCGCTCCAGTCTGGATGGAGACGTGTAAAGAGCAACAGTAATACCCCCGCCGGCCCCGCCCCCCTCGCGGTCTAAATCCGGTTAATTCCATCTCCTCTTTGTCAGACCGGACTCATAAGCCCGTCTTTGAAGGATCCATTTTCCAGGAGTGTGTCTGAGGCTTTAGGACCAGAGATCCCAGACTGGCACCTGAGTGGTCAGTGTGGGTCTTTGAGAGGATTATTGATGATTATTGACGATTATTGAGTGTGAAAAAACTGAGTCAATTAACCCTTTAGTCTCCACCACTGCTGCCCACGGTCCGAGAGAGAGAGAGAGAGAGAGAGAGAGGGCCAACAGGATTAGTGTGTGTGTGTGTGTGTGTGTGTGTTTGCATTCAGACGGTGTAACACACACACACACAATGGGCCTGAGCTGAGTGCTGCTCCAGAGGTCACAGAAACAACCGAGCCCAAAGCAGATCGTTTCAGCTCCCCTCACCGTCACTGCCCCCCCCCCCGCCATGCTGAATGTGGCGAGGAGAGCGGCGGCGGCGAGGAAAGCTTTTTACTGCTGGCTGTAAAATCCTGCCGGACCCACAGACTGAGAGCTCTCTGTCTGGACCTCTCTGGGTCGGTTCTGCTGCTCTTGGTTCCTCTGTATTTGAGGTTTAGACTGAGACAGAACCGGGTCAGGCGTCTGGGACAGCAGCACCTCCGAGAGACCCACCAGCAGAACCGCTCAGGTTCTTGTAATGTTAGTCTGGGTTCTGGTCTTGGTTCCCTGTAGTCCAGACTATAGTGTGTCAGGTTAGGATAAATGGACCCTGTAGAGTTATCTGAACCCTCACAGATACTGGATCCCTGGACCCCCCACCCCCCCGGCCCGCTCTCCTGATCTGTTTCCCTGAGACTGGGGGGTCAGAGGTCACGGTGGAGCGTGCATTGTTCAGCAGTCTGGAGAGCGCTCCGGTTTCACTGTGAAATCTGGAGCATCAGCGCCTTCGTAAGTCTTTAAATTTACCGTACGGGTCTGAGCGCCGCTGCAGGGCCCGCCAGACGCCACACAGCGTCTGCGGCGTGGCGTTCCATGATTGTGGGTAATGTCTCCCTTTATAGCCTCCTCCTCCTTCGCCACCTGTCGAGGTGTTGTGCAGGATGTAATCATGGCGAACAGAACATGTTCGACCTGACGACTGCCGCTCTGTCTGCTGGAGTAAACGTGTAAAAGTTCTGGTTCCAGCTGCTCCGATGAGGAGGCGCAGAAAAGGAACAGAACCGCTCACTGGAACCAAACATCAGAACTTGGCACACAACAGTCGCTGCGGCGCTTCAGGTGTGAAATTAGCCTCCAATTTACATGTGGGATGAGCTGTTGGCCCCTCCTCCTCCTCCTCCTCCTCCTCCTGCTGCTGCTGCAGTACATTAGGAGGAGGAGGAGGAGGAGGAGGAGGCTGTTTCTGATGGAGCGCTGTGGTGCAGCTGCCCCGTCAGGTCTGGGTGAAGCTGAGGTGTAGTTTAGGTGCTGCTGACTCTGCGTTTTAATGAACGGATGTTTTCCTCTGTCAGACTCTGAACACTGCTCCTCCTCCTCCTCCTCCTCCTCCTCCTCCTCCTCCTCCTCCTCCTCCTCCTCGTTTGTCGCTGCAGGCGGGTGAACAGTTGTCCAACAGCGCCCTGAGGTCTTGACTGTGAGACGTTCACGCTGGCTGACATTTGGACATCAGGGAGCTGGTCTGCATGAGTCCATCAGAGTCGGACCGTCTCAGACAGACGTGACTCTGTGGGCGCCATGAAGCTCCACCTGAGCGTTCTCATTGGTCAGATTTTCTCACATATTCTTAGGGCTGGGCGATAAAACAATAACGATATCTATCCAAAATTAATCTCCCTCAATATCGATATCAAACATGATCAATATCCTTTCCAATAGTCGTCATTCTGACATGTTTTGGTCGACTATACGAACAGCCAATGAAAAGGGGAGTTTCTCCGGGTCTGAACCAATCATGTTCTGAACAGATGCAGGAGATTATTGTGTTGGAAAAGACATGAGACCAAGAAACACTGTTAGATTTTTATATCCTGATATTGATCCATATCAGCTGATATTGATCGATATCAGCTGTTATTGATCGATATCAGCTGATAAAGGAGCTCTATCACTTATCGCCCAGCTCTACATATTCATCCCGTTGCCGTGAACACAGACCGGGTCCTCAGATGATCTCTGTTGGTTCTTAGATGTTGACATTTACCAGCAGATCTGTCCCCTCATCTCCCGTCTCTGCGGCGGCGGCGGCGGCGCTCAGCTAACAGAGCGAGGCCTCGGGCGGAGCAGGTGCAGGCTCTCCTGACGTGCACACACACGTGCGTGTCTGCACTCAGGGGAGGCCGGTTGGCTGCAGGACAGCTCTCAGTGAAATGGCAGAGCAGAGGAGGAGCGGCTCTTGTATATTGTGGTCTAAGTGGAGAGCGAGCAGGTGTTCAGAAATTAAAGCGGCGCCGCGTGTGCCAACGTGGCGCCGTCCCAAAGGAGCCATTTTGATTGGGTGAAATCCTGTTTGCTGCAAATCTGTGGACAATGCGTTCCTGTTTTTCTGCCAGTCGGTGTTTTGGAGTGTGAGAGAAATCTAATTTAATAAGCGGCTCGGGTTCTGCTGCTCCGATTCGACGTTTGAGGAAATTATTTGGCAAAAAAAAAACAACTTGTGATGGTGAGACGGTTAAAGGGACGTTTCCTTCTGTGTACAGCCCTTTAAAACAACCACAGCTGAACATAAACAGACATAAAAAACTATAAAGGATCAAATAAAAGCAGATATTAAAAAGTAAATATAGTTTTAATCTTTTTAAAAACTAATTTAAAAACTAAAAACAAACAAAAACACTGAAACAGGAGCGGGTCTCATGAACAAAAACGGGTTTGAAGACGAGGTTTAAAAATGGACAGGGTGTGTGTGTGGGGGGGTGTTAGTCTCTCAGCAGGTCGTCATTAAAGGGGCGGAGCTGACCGACGTCCTCTGTGGTTAAAACACTTTAAAATGAAACTCAAACAACCTTTAAAAACTCTGAAATGTCCCTTTAATTAACTCGGCCCTCTACAGTCTAATCTCTGCTCTGAATCTAAAATCTGAGATTATAATCTCGGTGTTTCTGAGTCGACTCTGAGGTCGGTTCTGATCCGATTCTTCAGAGACGGCGATCAGCTGATGAAAACGGCGAACAGAAGCTCCTCTGCAGATGATCGTCCCTCGCTCAGACTTCCTCTCTCGCTCATTTTTCCCTCATTTCTCGTCTGACACGTGTTTCTTTGTAAACGCCGGTTGTCAGTCTGCGGAGCGTGGCGTGGCGAACAAACAGATGGACTGGCAGGTTGACAGATAATGGCGATGGGAATGAGGCGAGCGACACTCCTACTGAGACACCTCTTTGACGGTTATCACCGCCACTTGTCCCCGTGAAGAGAGGCTCATTTAAACCCCGTCACCGTTTCCTGCCACGGCGGAAACTCGCGCTCCGGCGCAGGAAGCACTCGTCTCAGGAAACGCAGAGGAAACAACTGGAGACAGAAAGAGGTTTTCAGCCGTCAGCTGATCCTCGGGTTCTTCAGTTTCTGCGGTTGGAGCGGCGTCTCAATCAGAGCGCCGCTTTAAGTGCTTTCCTGTTTAGGAAATTAGCGTCAAATGATCTCGTCTGAGTGTCGGCGTCCTCCTGGTCTCAGAGGGGGGGGTTAGTCTGAGTTAATTAACAAAGGTTCCTCCTCCCAGTCCGTCTATCTCTCTGTGATCACACATGCTGGTTTCCAGTTCCTATCAGATGAAATGGAACTGGTCCCTGGAGGAAAGGAGGAGGTGGGTGTCAAATGATGCCCCTCCCTGCAGCCCACACACCTCCTCCTCCTCCTCCTCCTCCTCCTCTCAGAGCGGTTTGGAGGAGTAAGCAGATATCAGGCTGCAGATCTTCCTCTTTAAGACTAACTCGGGATTTTCACCACATCCAGAACGGCGGCAATTTTCACCGTCCGCCAATTCCTACAGCAGACAGACGGACAGCAGGAACCATGAGAATAAAGACAGACGCATAGACATATAAGCAGTAGATTGTGTCCTTCCAGAGGAGGAAATCTACTTCTAGACTTCTAGAATCAGCATCTCCTCATCCATGGTGTCATCGGGGTGAAATGACGTCTAAAAACCTTTCACTTGTTCGTCTCCGCCCGTTTGCACGCACCTTTGCATCTATGAAATCTTCTATATAAGTGGCGAGCCAGCCAGGAGCCGGAACAATCGCAGTTTTCACCGTCCACTGAGTCCTTCCTGATCTGTTTGTGAGGCGAGTTTTGTGGAGGACTACGGACAGCAGGAACCACGAGAACGATTTACGGTTCTTCATTGAAAGAAACTAAACTTGAATGGTTACGATCAGCTACGATCGGAGGATACGACCTTTTAGGAGACGATCAGGATGAAGGTGTAAAACTGCAGCTGTGTGTGAGGAAGACCTGGACCTGGTTTCTGCGAACACCTCCTCCATGGTTCTGGTCGACCTTGACCATCCTGGTCCATTTCCCTCCTCCACCCTGAGTCAATAATGAACCCGTCCAGAACCTCTGCTGCAGTTTGGACCTCAGATCAGGAGCAGACGGCGGGAACATCTTCCTTTACTCCGCCCACCTCTCCAACTCTTCTCCAAGTTCTCAGCGAACTTCTTCTTCACGCTGACGTCTCTTTAGTTTCTGTTGAATATCTGAGCAGCTCCGTCAGGCTCCTGATTGGACGGATCAGAGCGGCTCCTCAGCTGCAGACGAGTTAAAGGCTAAAAAGTGCGAACCCAGCACTTGTGCCTCCTCTCTTCTCAGACGACTCTCAGATTAGCGTCTCTTCCTTTCTTCTCTCTCTCCGTCTGTAAACTCAAAGCCTCTCCTCCTCCTCCTCCTCTTCTTCTCTGCAGATCATCTGTTCTCCATCTTTGTGTCTCTGAGGAAGAAACAGCCTTTAGCTGTAAATTGGCCCATTTCTCACATTTCATTTCCCAAAGTTGAGGCAGGTAGTGATGAGGGGGGGGTGAGAACCTGCAAGCCCAGCAGATTGGGAGAGAGAGAGAGAGAGAGAGAGAGAGAGAGAGAGAGAGAGAGAGAGAGAGAGAGAGAGAGAGAGAGAGAGAGAGAGAGAGAGAGAGAGAGAGAGAGAGAGAGAGAGAGAGAGAGAGAGAGAGAGAGAGAGAGAGAGAGAGAGAGAGAGAGAGAGAGAGAGGGAGAGAGAGAGAGAGAGAGCGAGAGAGAGAGAGAGAGAGAGAGAGAGAGAAAGAGAGGGAGAGAGAGAGAGAGAGAGCGAGAGGGAGAGAGAGAGAAAGAGAGGGAGAGAGAGAGAGAGAGAGAGGGAGAGAGAGAGAGAGAGAGCGAGAGGGAGAGAGAGAGAAAGAGAGGGAGAGAGAGAGAGAGAGAGAGAGAGAGAGAGAGAGCGCAGTGAATTCATTAGAACCTTTGAAACAGGAGATCTTTCCTCCAGGAGCTCTGACTGTATTCTGTTCCACTGTAAGAGCGTGCACGTTGACAGTGAGCGCACAGCAGCTTTAATTAGCCCTGAAGCACGTGCACGTGTGTGTGCACTACTTGTGTGTGTACATGAATTATTCACGCCTCAGCCTGACTCTGTGTTTTTAGTGGATGCTCGTTTTCGTCCCTTTAAAGGTTTTAAAGTCGTCCACCCCGACACAAACTCCGGTCCGTTTGTTCACAGAAGAGTCTGGACCAGGTCTCACTGAGTCTAAATCAGCTCTTAGAACCACTGTTGGTCAGGATCTTCTTTCACAGTCAGAGTTTCTGTCTCAGAGTTCATGAACGTCTTCAGAATAACCAAACCGTCTCATCAGCGCTGTGACGATAACTGTACCTGCAGCAGAACACACCTGTCCTCAGGTAAAGAGACAGTTTGGACATCAGAACCATCAGGGTTCACTGTTCACCTCTGATCATTATCATTATAATAATGATTATTGATCTGTGAGTGTGTTTGTCCATAAAACCATCAAGTGAAATCTCAGATAAGTCCTGACACCCCCACAGAAGGTCCGAGGAGACCCTCAAACTAAAGCCGCCATTAGCCGCTTGTTTGACTCTGGACGTTAAGACGCCGCCCAGTGTGGGAGCGGTTAGTCCGGTCACTCTGTAATCCAGCTTTGAAGTCTTTGTGCCCCTCTGAGGATCAGGACTGGATCCACATATTGTTCCTCAGGCCTCGCTGCAGAAACGCCTGCTGCTGCCGGGGGCGGAGCCTGTTGGCGCCTGCTGCCCCATTTTCTCCATGCGCCACTTTCTGTGGTCAGAGATTAGAGGACGGGGAGTGAAGCAGCCAATTACAGTTATATCTTTGTCCTGCCGGAGACTCCCCGACGTCTCCTCACTGAAGGAGGAGGAGGAGGAGGAGGAGAGCGTCCTCGTCTCCGCAGCAGCA